TGTTGTCCATTCTGGCTCACAGACCACCTTCATGTTGTAGAAGGACCCTCTGTGCTTGTCCTGCTGGTACTTAAGTACTCCCCACTTCGTTGATTATTGTGATGTTTAGAAATGATGTTAAATATTTTTCTGAGGATGATGTTAAAGCAGTCTGGGAAAGACTCAGATTTTCTATTCAAACAAGTGAAAATACTACATTAATAATAAAAAAAGATCTCTAGGACTGGATTTTTCTCATTGGCCTTAGACCCTGTGCCTGTGTTTGGATGGGCTGTTTGGGAGAACACAGTTACCTTCCTCAGCAGCCTTTCCTGCCTCTGTTGCCTTCTTCTTCCTCTGGGCTGCCCTTGTCAGCCATCTGATTCGGAATGTTTCCTCTCAGTTCTTCTGCATTTGTTTATTCTAACACTCTTGTCTGACAGCTCTATGGAAATCTTCCCTATCCTCCCAAATACCTTTTATTAGGAGCTTGCCTTTTTTCCTAAGTCCAGGTTTGTGGGATGAGTTTTGTCCTCCATTCATTTTCTTAAATGTACATGTATTCTTTATTTCAAAAGAAACCCAAGCCAAGGATGTGGAAGAATCCATACTGTAGCCCAGAACCAACTCCTCTGTGTTTGCACAGAACTCCTCTCAGGGAACTAACTGAGCAGGCTAACTGTGCTCCTGCTTAGTGCTTTTCTCTGGCTCTGGTATGTCCCACCATCTGTAGCCTTTCTTTTCTAAAAAAATAAAATGGTAGGAAATTATATGTTTCCTGTGTGAATTCTTCGCGTATTCAGGAATACACCCTAGGGTGCTTTCACACAGGAAGCTTCTCCCCTGCTCCTTCTTTACTCAGCTTTCTGCTGGAAATAAGCTACTTAGAAGCACTAGACCTTTGTGCCCTTGTTTGTTTATGTCGCTAGTAAATAATGCATCATATTTGTTGAAAAACGATTGATAAGCTTCGAGAATTGGTGCAAAAATGGAGATACCCTTTAATTTGCTGTATGACTTATTTTTATATTGCTATTGCTAGCATAACTGTAGGTCCTTGAGCAAAACCTCTATGACCTTACTGCCTTGTTTACTCTCTTTTTCTGTAAAACAGTGATCGTAATATTCAGCATTTACTGAGAGTCATTCATGTGACTTATGTTTAATCCTCACAGCCTAATGAGGTAGAGATGGTGTGTCTCCTCTGCCATTTGAGAGAACTGTGAGAGAAATGAGAAGTTACTTGCCCAGAGTCACACAGCTTCGTAAGCTGCAGGGCCATGATTCAAACCCAGGCTGTTTGGATTGAATCAAATGATCTGTTAGTTCACCTCTGGCTTAAATTTTCTATGTTTTTGAAGGAAAGGGCTAGTGAGTAGTAGGAATTAGAGGAACATACCCTATGGCTAGCTTTCAAGCAACACCCTTGTGTCTGAGGTGACCTTGGGAGCCTCGTCCGGGGCAGGGGAGCTCTCTGCTTCCTTGGCTGCTCCTCAGCGCCGCTGTTTTAACTTGTAAACCCTCTTCAGGATGGTGCTGGTAGCCAGTGCCACTGAGCAAGTAGAGAGAAACAGGAGGGATTCTCCCACAATTCCATTTCATCTACGTGGTTTGTTTGGACGAAGAAATCTAAATATAAACATGTGAGAATGAAAGAGACCACAGAAATGGTTTTGTTTATTCCTTCTTCACATTTCAGGGAGATAGGTGATGCCACTGAGGTGACTAGTGGTTGCAGACAGAGCTACAATCCCAGGTCTCACCTCATTTCACTCTTACAGTCCTTGGAAACAGAACACTGCCTCTCTTTATATACCCTTACTCTTAGGTTACTGGACTGTTAGAGAGATTGTGCCCATGATAGCTACATTTGTTTGCTTTGACTCTTTCTGTTCTGTTGTGTTGTGTCTGTGGGATTAAGATTCTGATGTCCTTTTTTAACACTATGCTGCCACCCCCTGGTTATTGGGTAGTACTGCACTAGGAAATCCAGTAGAACTTCAATTGCCTTTGGAGTCAAATGTTAGGAGTCTTACATTTAGGAACAAAGAAGCCAGAATAGTTATTTACTTGTGTGTAATCAACAAGTGTTCTTGGGTCAGAAGATATTGTAGGTGTTGTATGTCAGAGGTTCCCCAGAATCTCTGACTTGGTTCTGAAAAACCGACATTGTACGATGGTATTTCTGTGGCCCTTCAGGTTTTCAGACATCTGAAATGTGTTGCCAAAATGCCTAGATGTATAGATCTTAAAGCATTGGTGCTGGGGTGCCAGTAGCCCTGGATTCCTGCATGCTCTCCAAAGGACATTGAAGTGTGTGTGTGTAACTCAGTGACTGGAGATCCTTACCATCCCTTGCAGGAAACTGTGCTCAAGTGAAGAATTAACTCATACAACTCTCAGCAAAGTTCTTACACTTTTCCTGCGAACTGTTGGTTGTCATCACCAACTAACAGAGTAGATCATATTTCTTTGAGCACCTATTCAGTTCCAGATGCTTCCTATCTTTTTACTTCTCTCAGTAGTAGTTTAGGAGGGTTTCAATATCTCCATTACAGAAAAGTGGAGGCCCAGGGAACTTTGGTAATATGTCCATAGTCACGTATGTGGGAAGTTATGGAGTTGAGATTTGAACGTCAATAGGCTTTCCCGTATTCCTTCTAGTAGTCCAAACTCCAGGTTTTACTTGCAACATTCTGGCTTTGCTTTTTTAAAAAACAAAGCAAAACGAAATGAAAGGAAAAAGCTAGACCAGGGGTTTTCAACTAGAGACGACTTTGTTCCCACAGGGACATTTAGCAATGCTTAAGACATTTTTAGTTGTCATAACTCGAGGATGGTGGCACTGACATTTAGTGGGTGGAAGCCAGGGGTGTTGTTAAACATCTAACAGTGCACAGGCTGCCTCGTAACAAACACTTATCTGGCCTGAATGTCAGTAGAGCTGAGGCGGGGAGTCTTTGCTAGACAGTATATTTTACTTAATGAGTTTGTCCCCAAGCACTGCCAAACAGGCCACGCTTTTTCCCCTGGTTTATATTTTTCTTTCCACGAAGGGTAATCTTATCCTGCTTTTTCATTGTATCATCCCAGCTAGGGAAGAATCTTTAGGCTTGTAAAGGAGGAAAATTAATTTCCCTTTTACCTTTCTAAGTTCTTGGCAAAATAATTCTGTGGGAAAGAGGACCATTTTGGTATGTCATGTTCGGGTCTCCTACACTTTCTGTCCGCCCCACCGTGTCCTGGTGTTTGTCCCTCACTGCCTGTGTGTTGTTGGTCAGCAGTAAACTTTGAAGACCTCAGGCGTCCTGTAAGCTCACGGAAGACCAGACACAGCCAGGATTCAGGCTCTTGTCAGTCTTGTCCTAGAGTGGTTTCCTGGGATGTGTCCTGTATATCATTATGCCTCCCTTGAGTTCCTTACTTGCCTAGAAATAATCCATTGACATCTCTCCCATTTTTCCCCCAGATCAGATGTTACCCCCTCCAAAATCCCCTGCTGAAAGAAATTGCTCCTTTCTCTAAACTCCTGAGGATAACATTTGTTCCATTTATTTAGCATACTGGTTTGTCCACTTTTTTCTATGTGCAGTATATATAGTGTAGGATCCTTTTTTGTTGTTAAGGTTTTTAGTACAAAAGCACAAAATGAATAAAAACTAAAGAGTACCCATCGTGGAGGAGGATTCTCTGTATCCAGCCTGTTTTATTCAAACCAGTGATGATACCCTATTGTTATAGACATGTCTATTTGACAGTTAATTGCAAGTTAGGAATCTTGGTAGTTATGATCTTTACTTTCAAATAGCACTTCTTCACATTTGAGTTCTGTTGAGACTGTGATAATTGTTTTCTTTCTGATTCTTTAAATGGCTTCAGTGTTTCAGCAAAGGATTTTTGGGGACCTCCCTGCTCTCTTCGTGCAGACCATGTTTGTGACTGCTCTTTAAATCAGGAAGAATCTTCTTTCATTAATGAGGGTTGTTTGACATATGTTAGGATTTAACCATCTCCTTTATAAACGGGACGTTTCTTGGGTTTTAACTCCCTTTCATTTCTGATTGATGAGCTTGTGATGAGAAGGTGGAGGCTGCTAAAAGGAGTGATACTGCATTGACCTTGGGGACATCTGTTATGGCACCTCTTTGTTAGAAGAGTATTTTATGAGCCCAGAGGAAACCTGTTGAGGTTTGTCATGACCAGGCTCACAGAAACTATCTGATTCAAGTTGTAGCCTCATAACCTTCAAATGGAAGCACAATATTTGATCCCTTATTCTTTGAACGAACTGGAAACAAAGTTAACTATTAAGGATAACACAGTTAAGTGTCCTGTAAGCACTTACAGGACTATGATTGCCATATAACTCCACATTATTCACAAATAATTACGTGTAAGCAGTTATAGTCTTTGGAGATTCAAAAATAAATAAGATGGGGGTCTCTACTCTTTGCACTCATAGCACCTTCATCACCACCCACACTTTGCAGTGTCATTTTGGCATATAGCAGTCCACTGTGGCGAAGAGTGGAGGGAGGAAGTAATTCAGTCTGGGTAATAGGCAAACCATGGAGAGGAGATAACTTTGTCCCAGGCCTCGCTGGGTAAGTTCTTTTTAGTTAATGAGCCCTGACAGTGTGCTAACACTGATTAGAAATATTTATCAAAATGATTAATTATTAACATAGAAGGATTTATTCATGTAGTACTGTTTAGTAGTTAATGTTAAATAAACATGTAATACTGAATGAACTAGTTGATCAGACTGGGAGAGATACAGAGATTGGTCTCCTTTGTTTCCTGAAATAAGCAGTTTTGAGGGAGAGGGTGAGGAGGTACTATGGATGGGGTTTTATAAAATTGACTTTGTAACTGACTTACATATTGTTGCGGTACTGTGGTAATTGTGTGTCTCCCTATCTACCTGTCCACCTGTTTGCAGGGGCTTTTGGTCATGGGTGTGATATGCACTGCGGGCCCCTGAAATCCTGTTTCTAATGCTGTTAGATTTTCCTTTTCAGAGTAAGAGGGACCATCTGCTCATGAACGTCAAATGGTACTACCGCCAGTCTGAAGTTCCAGATTCTGTGTATCAGCACTTGGTCCAGGATCGGCATAATGAAAATGGTAACTACGTCCCTCTGGCTTGATCCTTCTATTTCTCAGTTTGGGCAAAGTTCTTTCTAAAAATGTTCATTAAAGGGAGATAATCACTTTGGTAAAATTTCTCAGTGAAAGCTTTTTGTAAACAGGAACATACCTGGAATGCCTCCCCTCAGGTTCTTCCATTATTTTGCTTTTTTATTTTAAACATCTGAACATGTGCTAATCGTGTCTTCCCCTTAAACTGGAATACAGGTAGGGATTCTTTGGCAATAACAGCAATTTCATTTAAAATTTTTCTTTGTCTCACCTAGTGATGAGCAAATAGTAATTAAACCCTCTGAGGGTTTATACATGTCTCTGTCTGTCTTTTTCAGCCTGTACCATTCAGCTTCTCCATATTCAGGGTGGTAAACTTCAGCTTTCAAACAAAGCTTTCTGAATTGTGTTTTTGGAATTTAGCTTTACTTCTGAATTTCAGAACCATAGGAAGGATATTTCTAGGTACCTCTTTTGTTTTATTTTGTTTTTCTCCCTCAGGCATTGTAGTTTCTCTTAGTCATTGTTGACACATGAGAGATGTATGTTAACGTACAGCTTTTAAAAAATGGAATCTTGAGAGACCAGGTGATTCACATTTGTCATGCATTAATCCCATGAGGTAGGTTTGTTACTCCCTGTTCCCAGATGAGGAAATTGAGGCTGAGAGATACTGAGGAAGTTGCTCAGGCCGTGTGTCTTACAAGTGGCAGTGCCGGCTCTGGGACCCAACTCTGTCTGGCCCTGATGCCTGCGCTCTCCCTACTCTTCTGCACTGCTTTTGTTGATAGGTTTTAAGTCATCAAACCAGTGGTAAAAAAAACAACTTTGGGCCAGATGTGGTGGCTCATGCCTGTAATCTCAGCACTTTGGGAAGCTGAGGTGGAAGGATTGCTTAAGACCAAGTGTTCAAAACCAGCCTAGCAACATAGCCGGACCATGTCCCTGCCCCTCCCTCCAAAAAAAATCACAAAAATAAGCCAAATATGGTGGTATGTGCTTTAGTCTCATCCACTTGGGAGACTGAGGTAGAAGGATCCCTGAGCCTAGGAGGTGGAGACTGTGGTGAACTGTGATTGTGCTACTGCATAGGTCCTGCCTGGGCGACAGAGTAAGACTCTGACTCAAATCCCCCCACCCCCAAAAGGAGAAAAACAAAAACTTTGAAGAATTATGTTCTTTTGTATCTTGCTGGTTTTTTTTCTTCTTTGAAACTATAAGGTCTCCTGTTTAAAGCACCTAAAATATGGTTCCTTGCTACAAATAGTAACTTGGTTATTATGTTCAGCTGGAATATAGTGTGTGGTTTAACTCTATTTTGAAATGTATAGCAATAAAGAACAAGATGGACAGGACCACTAAATATTTGGTAGTTGATAAGTTGCTAGGATAGGATAGTTGTTTGTGCTCTTTTTCCATTTTGTGCTTAATGTGTTTTAGCAAACTATAGGGGCTTAAGTAAAAAAAATACTTTATTGACAAAACCTCTACATTGTGTTCTTTTGATTCTACTATATCTTATTCCTCTCCTCTGTTTTGTGTACTTATTATGGTACTAACCAGGCCTGGCTGTTTACTGTGTTTTCTTTAGTGGAGGTGAACCAGAAAGAAGTTTTGCAAAATTGTCCTACTTGTTTTGGGAAACTCAATTTTAATGTCCTCTTAATTTTTTTTTTTTTTTAACAGACTCTGGAAGAGAACTTGTCATTACAGACCCAGTTATTAAGAACCGCGAGCTCTTCATTTCTGATTATGTTGACACTTACCATGCTGCTGCTCTCAGGTGAGTTCCAGAGACGTGGTCTTTTGTGCAGTGGAGAAGTCATGAGGTGAGGAGAGGTAGAGGGTTTCAGTTCTCCTAGTCTTTTAATAGCCATTCTCTTAATCAGACTCCTCTCATGGCCTGAGTGAGTGAACATTCCAGTGTCCACACTGGATTGTTGAGATTGCTAAGGTTGCCTGTTCCTTTGCACATTTGGCTTTCTCTCTCTCCTCCCCCTACCCCCCCTTTTTTTTGCAATTTCTTTTTCTATGTTACTGTATCTTTGTTTCCTTGAAAATTACAATCCTGGTTATTGTTTGCTAAAGTGTTTAAAATGTTCTGATGGTTTATTGTTTACTTTCTAAAGATTCAACCCCTGCCATAGAAAAGATAAAGACAAGGATAAAGAACATATGGCAACATTTAATTAATTGAGACATCTAGGCAGAGTATATAGGGGTTCTCATGGAATCATTCTTTCAATTTTCTGTATGTCTGAATAATTTCCTACTGTAAAGCTTTGTGGAGGGTAGAGAGAACGTACTGAAGATTTTATTCTGAGGCAGAAGGTAACATTATAGCTATTCTTAATGTCTTAGGGAATTATGTCAAAAAGTTGACCATGACATTTGCAGTCTCGAATATTTTCTGTCCCTCTCAAGAGAAGGATAACCATATATTCTGGTGCAATTTGTGGATATGTGACTGTCTTTGGGCCTCTTATGTGATACCAGAAGTAAGACAACTAATATTCTAAAAACTCTTTCCCCACTGGAAATGATAAATAATAAAGTGGTGAAGGAGCTATTTTTTTTTAAGTATTATAATGTGGTTTTTAAACAGTGATTGGAATTTGCTAGGTTTTAGCTTAACTACAGTGAAATACAATAATTGTTCTATTATAATGCTCAGATGGTTTTCAGTAAAATCATCTGGAGTCTCTTGTGCACAACTACATAGCTAATGCCAATTATTTTAAGGTAAATTTGTAGCAAATTTTTTTTTTTTTGAGTTAGAGTCTCATTCTGTCGCCCAGACTGGAGTGCAGTGGCCGCTCCCCGCCACTGCAGTCTCGACCTGCTGGGCCCTGGCAGTCCTTCCACCTCAGCCTTCCAAGTAGCTGGAACTACAGGCGCGCGCTATCACGCCCGGCTTATTTTTGATTTATTGTAGAGATGAGGTCTCGCCAAGTTGCCCAGGCGGGTCCCAAACCCACGGGCTCAGGCAATCCACTCACCTCAGTCTCCCAAAGCGCGGGATTACAGGCTGAGCCACTGAGTCCGGCTTGTGGCAACATTTAATATAGAACAGGCTTTGACTAACTTTTTAGGCCAGATAATATTTTACATGAACCCTGTTGTAACAACTCAGCTCTGCCATTGTAGCACAAAAGCTATAGGCAACATATACAAGGTAGGACCCCAATAGAAACACTGGAATTATTTTTTGGAGAATGAGACTTTTGTAGTATAGACTTTCCCTGCTAGGTAAGCATTCTGGGAACCCATCGCCATCAGTGTTGCTGCTGTGAGAAGCTGCATTTGGCTTCAGTGAATTTTTTTTGTTTTGGAGATTCTTTCAGTGCATTTGCCTATTTCATGATGGGTTATTTACCAGCACACCTGTCCACACCACACTGGGCATTCAGCAGTTTTTTGGGTTTTTTTAAACTAAAAATGGCATTGTCCCCTGTGCCCCACCCTTCCTGATCTCAGTCCAAACAACTTTTTAAAATTTCCTCGGATGAAGAAAGTCCTCAAAGGGAAACGTTTTGCTGATGTGGAAGAGATGAAACAAAAAATGACAGAAGCACCAAAAGGCACCAAAGCTGATGAGTTCAAAAATTTTTTTGAGAAGTGGAAAAAGTGTCTTGATAGGTGTATTGCATAAAACAGAGAGTACTTTGAAGATTACTGAAGTTTAAATATGTAACAATAAATACACAATTTTTAATAAATAAATTCTAGGGTTTTTGGTGTTATTTTTGGTTTCCTTCTCGTAAATAAGTGAGGTGGCTGTACTCCAGTAAAACTTTGTGAACATTGACATTTGAATTTCATTTAATTTTCACATGTCAGGAAATAACTCTTTTGATTTTCTTTTTAGCCACTTAAAAATGTAAAAACCATTCTCTCAGGGAATGGGCTAGACTTGGCTCATGGGCCGTGTTTGCAGACCCCTGCTATAGAGGAAGGTGTGAATATGGTTGATATGAATTCTTCCAGGACTTTGGATACATTTAGAGAATTTCTAAGGTCTTTTATCAACTGCCTTCACACTCTGCTTGCCTTTTGGAAGTGGCATCCCAATCTCAAGCCCCCTTGCAGAGCAGGGCAAGTTGGTGAATGATTGGCTAGACTGACCAAGCGGTACACTTGCTGACTATGGCAGACGTCTTACTCCTGGAAGGTTTCTTATTCTGCTTTGCATGCTTTTTTCTTCCTCTTGTCTCATTGCTTGAGGTAAACAGTTTTAATCAATGAAGAGTTTTGGTTAAAATAAATAAATAGGATAAGACATAACTCTGGTTCTTCAGTATGTTTTCACATTATTGCTTGCTATGAATATTTTTGAGTTTTATCACTGATATTCAGATTTTTGGAGTCATTTTTCTCTCATTTTAGCATTTTTAGAAGAACAAGTTATCCTAATAATTCAGCTGGACCCAGATGAATTTGCTCCAGCTAGGTTTATAATCGGGTGTTTCCTGGAGATGTGCAATTTAAATCACTAGCTTTTGGCTTTGTTACATCGGCCACTGTAACTGGAGTGCTGAAGTGGTAATGCTTTGTCTTCTCTTCACTGGGTATATGACCAGAACCCTCATTCATTAGCTTTTTCCTCCTGTGGTATTTTCTTTAAAGTGGCCATAAAAAGTGGTAGATGCTTAATTAAACTTTTATCTTAAATTTGATTTTGTTAGATTCAAATACAGCATCCTTTGTGTGACTTGACAACTGAAGTTTTTTCAAAGACATCAGCTGATGAGTGGAAACTTTGTTAGTGAATGAGCTGGCCTAGTAGGTGCTCAGTGACCTCTCAGTGACGTCCTGACATTTGCCAGCATCTGGGCTCATTTGGGTGCTTTTCTTTGTTGCTTAGCAACCCTGCCTCCCTCTCAGCAGCAGTGTGCTCTCATGAAAGGAGCTTCTGCCTGTCAGATCACCTTTCATAACAGGATGGAATGTCGGTGTCCCAGGAATCTCTGTTTATGCCCTTTCTCTTCACCAAAGCTAGATCACTTAAAAATCTTTGGGATGTGTTTAGTAGGGGGTGGGGGGAGAATTTAAGATTTAACCTTTTCTTTTAATTTTTCTTTTCACAGTTTATTCCTAGAAAGCTTTTTCTTCTTCCGTAGATATAAATCAGTCCTAGTAAAAGTAAATTCAGTTTTGAGAGAGACACAAATAGTCTGTAGGCACATGAAAGGGGATCAAGTAAATGTAGTAAAAAAGAAAACCATGGAGAACAAAAAAGAAGAAAGAGAAGGACTAGGAATGTTGACGCTCAGCAGCATTCTTCTCAAAGATCAAAGGACTCAGCTACATAGACTCATCAGGCTCACAGCAGCTCAGGGTGCTTGCCATTCCATTAACTCTGGAGGAAACTGATGTAGAGGTTCTTTCAGGCGGTGCTGGAGTTGACCATAAAGGAGGAGGGAAAGCTTTTATGCTGTCATGAATCAAAAGGAAAATGTTTCCTTGTAGCCTCTTCTTTGTAAATTGTGAAGTTGTGACATGTCCTCCCAAAACCGTGTTTCTTCCCAGAGAAGAAAGTGAGACCTTCACAGCTGTAGAAACGAGTGCTGAGGTCCAGCATGACTGCATGCTATTGTCATTTGGTCCTTCCGTTGGCTGTCCCTCATCCCTACCTTAAAGATACATTTCTGCAGCTGCTTATTTTCTGAATTTCATTACGCTTGTCAGTGACCACCGTATAGTATAGTTAGCATCTTGAATAGAGTACTTTTTGAGTTCTCCTTATTCCCAGGTAAGTATTTCTGGCTGATACTGTGGCATGACAGATTGAAATTAGAGGACTTCGGTTTGAAGCCTGGTTCTGCCATATGGCTTTAGTTAACCCATGAGATATTTTTGACAACTTGTTGAAGGTCCCATGACTAAGTGGCAGCTCTCCAAACTGCATACACAGGTTCTGATGCAGCATCCATTACAAAAGGCAGAAGGCATGCGGAAGCCTCAAGGGTATCTCGTGCTCCTTGCCTTGGCAGTCACTGGGTTCTTACAAACATTCAAGGAAGAAAAGGAAGAGTGAGATTGTATGTGATTCGTACTGAGTTATTGATGGCGCAGTTATGCAGCATCCATTTATTTCCTTTCTCTGTGCCCTTTAGGGAGTGATGGGGTCTCAGATCACTTCAGGTTTAGGGAGGAGAGTTTATTTTGCTCAGGGAGCCATCCTGAGATGCCCCAAGAATGAGCAGATGAACTTGGAGCTTGCTGTTTGTTTGCTGTGTTGCCTTTTCCCAAGGATGGTGTCTTATTGATGACTCAAGTATCTGGAGTGATTGCTTTGTGATTGGCCTGAGAGCATGTGGCCTGGGATGCTTTCTTTGTTTACTACACACTTGCATCAACAATCTTTCAGTATCGATTGTGGGGGGCTGCCAACTTGAGGGCTGTTTTCCGACTTTCTGATTATCTGTTTTCATTGTAGCCATTTGGGGAAAAATATCTTAAGGTGGGTCTCGTTGCAAGCTATCATCCTACGTAGGCAGTCACATTACAGGAAGGTGTTTTAGAGTAAATTTTCTGGAAAACCAGGGCCAAGAAACCCTAAAATAACTGTTTTGGACTTCTAATCTCTTTCTTTTCATCTTGGGTTAATTTATCTCTTTACTTTGCTCAGTGGGCAGCTAGAATCATAAGTATGTTTAGGGATTGAAACAGATCAATTGTATCTATGGACAATTCCCAGCCATAGCATTTTAAAAAATCCTTTGGCTCCTGCAGTTTTCCTAAGGAATTTCATGGTGTCTCAGAACTCTCTTACGCTTCTCT